TCTCTCTCTCTCTCTCTCTTTGGTCGAATCATGAACGTCTCACACACACACATTCCATCGATAGGACGAGCAAAATCGGAATGAATCTTCTGCAGAATCGGGGAAATATACACTGCCACTTTTCGATTTGCTCGTTCTATCAATTCGTTTGGCGCCGTAGGTCTGAGACATAGCTGATGGCCAAGGTTGGAGACTTATCGTCTCCCTCTCTCTCTCTCTCTCACACACACACACACACACACACACACACACACACATACTAACACACGCACGAGCACACGTTCACACACGCACGCTCATGCATGCACACACTCACACGCGTTCACACATACATACGCATGCACATAGTATTGTATACATTCTTGCTCTAGTGATAGATTCGTCCGTTTTTCCTCATCCTATCCATGGAAGTAGCGTAATGTAGCCGCGGGATTAGATACTTGCTCGTTTCTCCCTTTTCGTCACACACAAATACATATACCGCGTAGTAGTGTATATTCCCATGGTCCAACGGTGAATTGATTCGATTATGCTCATCGTGTAGGGGGGGAAAACTCTCACACACACACACATACACACACACATATGCACATACACACACACATGTGTGTAGTAGTGAATATGTCCACGTTCTAGCGATCGATTCATTCGATTTTATTTATTTATTTATTTTGTTTTCTTTTATTTATTCATGAGGTAAGTCACGAGATTGAAACTTACCTGCTCTCTTTCTTCGTCACAATCACATCATGATCCCATCACGATGGGCGGCCTCTCCGAGAGTGCAGCATGGGCGCGACAGCACACAACGCAATTAGAAAAACAGGCGATGACGGGCATCGCACATCCTAACAAGTCGGCGATGACGGGCTCGAGCTTCACTGCGCCACTATCGGCTAAACGGGAGGGCGCACCTACTGTCAGGTCAGTCACCCTCCTCCCTTACTTTCTTTTCCTCCTTTCCTTCTTCTTCTTCCTCTGCTTCTTCTTCTTCTTCTCCTCCTTTTCTCCCTCTTCTCGCCTATCTATCTGTCAACGCTCCTCCCTCGCACGGTCTTTGTTGCTATCCCTTGCGCACGATTTCCTCCTTGCGCGTTCCTCCACCCCTGCGCGCATATCCCCCGCGCGTTCTCTTTCGCCCATGCCCGGAACACCGTCGTCGTCGACTGCAATGCCCGGTAAGTCTCCTCCTCTCCTTCTTCTCCTTCTTTTTTCTCTTCTTCTTCCTCTTCTTCTTCTTCTTCTCCGTCTTCCTCCTCCCTCTCTCTCTTCCTCTTCTACCTATCTTTCCTCTTTTTCTTCGCGTGCTCCTCTTCTCCTTCTTCGCGCGCCCTTCTTCCCTGTTGCGTGTCCATCCCGCCTTCCCCTTTCTTGCGGTCCTCCCAGCTCCGATCTGTCGTGGTCGCGTCCAGTCCATTCTCACATCTGCTGGCCGTGCGCGAGCTTTCCATTCCATTGTCCGCGGCTCGGCCAGACCTTAGTTGTCACACACAGGCAGTGCCCGTTTTCGAGTCTGGTGCAGATTCTTTCATATGAATCTATAGTATGGATTCGAAATCGTAATAGCCGAAACGAAAAGAATAAAAAAAAATAAAAAAACAATAATAATAATAAAGAAATAGCAATAAATAAGAATCTAACTATACCAATGTAAATAAAGGAAAAATAACTAAATACGAACTAAACAACTAACTGCTCTTGCCACGTGTCGTGTACGTAGCCCAACAGAGTCTAACGACATCAACTTCCTACTAACTTCATATAACTAAGGCACGGGATCGAGCCCCGACCGACTGAGCCTGGGCAAAAGCATTGTGGATCTCCGTGCCAAAAGGGAGCTAGCTTCAGCGGTTGGGTAGACTCAATCCCTACACCCTATGCTTACCAGTCCTGCACCTAAACCTACTGAGCTAGCTCCCACTTCGAATAGAAGGGAAGCAACTCAATACATAAACAGTATCGGGGCTCAGTCCGACGAGTGGACTGAGCCCGTTTTTCCTAAGTCTGTGCGTGTGCACGCTCACCGGTTTGAGTACCTGTTTGAGTGCTTGTCGGCTTGAGTGTGTGCGTGACCCGCAAGGGTACTTTATTCACCAGTTGGCCCAAATGGCCGGTACTTTGCCTGCGGCCGTGACATTGAAGGCTGCCGCGGGGAAAACATTCGAGTGGCGGGGAAAATGCCCGCGATATTAAAAGGCGGCGGAAAACACTCAAGTAGCGGGTAGGTCGGTATCACACCAGTAGAAGTAGATGTGCGCGGCACTCGAGGCCGCGCGAAGGAAGACAATGGTTGACATTTCTAGAGGCCCAACACCGGTCGTCGCCGCTTGGCGTAGTGGTGGCAGATTTCTATTGGCTGCCCCGACCGCGTGGCCGGGCTTACATTATTATTTTAGTCCACTTTCGAGCTTACGACGGCGCGACCAGCAGATTCTCCCGTATCGGTCGGTCCGACGCTTCTGGACTCAATCTAATTTGTTTTTCCTTACTGCCTGAACCTTTGACTGATTTAGATCGTGGTCGACGCATCGCACGCGACCTTCTTTTGTTCTATTCCAACCCTCCGGCCCTGGCGGTCGGAGACTTTTAATTTTTCACTAACCCTCACCTGTTATTCTATACGACGTATCACTGTGCACGGTCGCCTAGAAATCTCGGCTTCAATGGTCGAGAAATTTGCTTCACATCACCAAGCCAAAAAAATTCTCACTTTTTACTCCAGACTGTCTCCGGCACAACGACAGGCGTTGATACTGTATCATATGCAAAATCATGAGCAAATACCCTTGTAAGGGTGTTTGCTCTGACAGCGCATAGACGCGACCCCGTCATCACCCGAAGTAGATCGGCTAATCGACGGGCAGCCAACATGAACGCTAATCTACAGAATCCGAATCCACAGCAGCAAAATGCCAATCAACAGCAAAATCCTAATCAACCTGCCCCACGAGCAAGGGCTCCCATGACGCCGCCTGATCTCTACCTATTTGACCCTGCACATCATCTTGCAGGAGCATGGTTGGCCACGCTCCGAGCACAGCAGTATGACGATAACTAAGCTCAGGTAAACATTCCCGCTCGATTAGGGGGGGACGCTCATCATTGGTTTAGTACCTATGTATGGGTTGATCTTTCGACCTTCGAACGAGATTTTTTGAATCGATTTGATTATGTGCATCCAGAGCTATACTGTACATGATCAAGGACCGGGTACAAAAACCTCTCGAGTCTATCGCAGAGTATCGAAACCGGTTCTATCGAATGTTTGTGAAAACTGAGCGGGGCGAGCAAGTCGGGAGAGATTTGTTTATTGATGGGCTTCGTAGTCGAACGATAAGGGCAAAGCTGCGAAAGCAGTTCTCCCCCATCAATCACACGCTGCAACAGATTATGGCAGCTGCAGAGGAGATGGAACGAAAGTTCACGGCGAACTTCCTGGAAGGAGAAGACTATCCTAAGGAAGGGGATTCGTCCGAACTCGCAAGGGCAAGAGCTGAGTTGGCCGCGTTGCAGAACAAGTTCGGGAATATGGGATTTGTGTCTGGCCCGGTCACCTATATGGGACAGATAACCCCTAAACGACCCGCCCCGAGTGTAATCGCGAGTGTCCCTGTTCCTGTGATACCAGCACCAGTAATGACGGCACCCCCGCAATCGATTGAGAACCCTGTGAGGACAAATGAGTCTACTGCCATTTTTGAACTAACCAAGACGTTAATTAGTCTAATCCAGGAAAGCAAAAGGGAACAGCGAGAGCATAACGCTCGGTTAGAAGCCATGATGAGGAGCATGCGGCCCATCGCGGTGCGTGCCCCTCCGATCCAACAAGGGCTGGCCCCGGCGCCTGCTCTCGGGGGAGCCGCGAACAATCTGAATGTCTGTTATGCATGCCAACAGCCAGGGCATCTAGCCCGTGACTACCCCCACCGGCCCCCGCAACAACGGGTCGGGGTCGCACCAATGGCAGCGACCCCCATCGCTAACGGACCTGGGCGGGTAGGAGCTCTCATGGAAGACATGGAAGGTGTAGGAAGTGCGCTAGCAACCACAGAAGAGGCTTCTGAGCTCATCCCGTTAGATCAGTATGTATCGCGTGGTTATCCTGGGCTCGGAAGGATCGGAACGATCAGACCGGCGCCAGAACAGAAAGAAGTGGCGGAGTGGCGACCCTCTCCAGGAGAGATGGAGTCGGGAGGACCCACCTTCGTCACTAGGGAAATCGATGTGCCCAACATCATCCGAGCCTTGGACCATCGGATTCCACTTCCGATCGGCCACCTGCTCTCGATCTCTGAACAAGCTAATGAGCGAATGCTACAGCACTGTAAAGTGAATCGGAAGCGATTCGCTCTCGCCCGAACAAGGAATGTAAAGGCTAAGAACCCCACACCAGACGAAAACACGGCGGGCACGTCGGATCCAATACGGGTAGGGTTAATACAGAAAGACGATCATTTCCTACGGATTAAATCCATCCCGTGGAAATCTGCGGAATGTGACATTGAAATATGGGGAATTCCGTACAATGCAATCATCGATTCGGGAGCTGCTGTTTTGGCTATCTCACTGCGAGTAGTTGAGAGCGCAGGTAGGAAAAACGATCTGATCATGCTTACAGAGAAGGACCATCTCGTTTTGACAGACGAAGAAAAGATTAAAACAGTGGGATGGATGGCCAACATCGCTTTCCGATTGGGAAAGGTGCATGCACTAGGAGATGTCGTGGTATTAGATGTGAATACCTACGATGTTTTTTTCGGTCTTCCCGCTCTTGTGGCATTACGAGCGAATTTGGATTTTGAGCGACGGGCAATCATCCTCCGAAATACGGGAGGAAAACTCTATGTTGTACCTATGATACTGACTCTTCGAACTACCACCAACGCAGTCCCACGAGTTTCGCCGATGATAGCGGGGACTCTTCGTATGATCGCCTGGGAAGACTCCGCAGACGATGAACCATCATTGAGGGATGCGGATAGCAATGACGACAACGATCCAGAAATTCTGAAGCTAGCACGACAGCGTATCTATTACACACCGCCCAGAACGATCGCAAGAACGATGCATTTAACCAGTCGGAACATCCAAAGGACCAAGGCGATGATTTTGGGTGAACCCCTCGTACAGATTTCGAGGATGGTCGATTCTTTGGAACCCCCTCGAACCCTGTACGAAGGAATTTCCCCTCTCCTCGCCCGATACAACGACAAGAAGCACTACTGCGATATCACAGATCTACCGAAGTCCCTACTGACACCTGCAAAGGAAATACGACTGTTACGTCTAGGGGCGGAGGCCAGTTCTTTGGAACCCCCTGGGCACCTCGAGGCTAAATCAGACGAGCTCGGAGTAAAGATCGCAACTAAAACCGTACCATGGCAAGACATCTGCAATGGAATCACCCCGGAAGGACACATGGCCATCCGGGAGGAAGACGCCCAGATGATGACCACGGTGTTCTCCTGGCGATCGAACCGTTCGTTCATCTCTGCGCCACCGCCCGATGTGGCGAAACAATCACGCACGAAGCAGATCGACGTACGAATCTGGGATCAACTTTTTGAGTTACACGTGCCACAGTACGTACCTGATGAGATTCATCGTTTGATTGCGGACATTCTGACGGAATATCAGGGAGCGATTAGCGTAACAGACACTGATATCGGCTTGTCACTGGTCATTTAACATGAAATTCAGACGGGAAATCGTTCCCCCATCCACTGCAAGCCCTACCGATACTCCATGATAGAACGGAAAAAGACTCTCGAACGGATTCGGGAATTTGAAGCAAGCGGGTGGATCGAGCCCGCCACCGGACCATGGTCATTTCCAGTAGTGCTAGTACCGAAGAAAAACGGATCAATCCGCATATGCATCGATTATCGCAAACTGAATGAAATCACGATTAAAGATGTGTATCCCCTCCCCCGGATTGATGATTTGCTAGATGCGATTCGATGCGCTAATTATTTCATTAAGTTTGACATTCGGCATGGCTTCCATCACATTCTGGTTAAGGAGGAAGATCGGCCAAAGACAGCTTTCGTGTTGTTTGAAGGCACGTGGCAGTGGGTTCGGTGTTCGATGGGGATCTGCAATGCGCGTGTTACGTTTCAGCGAACGATGAACATGACGTTCCAGAACTTCGTCAACAAGACACGGCTAACTTAGGGAATGATCAACTTTTGCATGATCGTATACATGGACGATATCCTTGTTTACTCGGAAACCTATCACGGACATGCACAACATATTGAGTGGACGTTGGGAGCGCTGAGAGACGCTGGGTTCAAGATCGCACTCGAAAAGAGCGAATTTTTCCTTTCGGAAATTTCGTTCTTGGGTTACGTCGTGACACGTGGAGGATTGCGGCCTGACTCGAGAAAGGTAGCGGCGGTGAGAGAAGCTCCAGCTCCCGCGTCGCTGACGCAGGTTCGAGCCTGGTTGGCATCGTACTATCGTCGTTTCATCAAAGACTTCGCCGCGATTGCACGACCACTAACGAACCTGTTACGAAAGGACCAGCCTCTCAGTTGGGACGCGGAGTCTGAGCAGCCCTTCACGACCCTTAAGGACGCTCTGGCGACGACACCTATTTTGATCCGACCGGACCCCTTGAAATAGTTCATTCTTATCACGGACTGGCAACCGGAAGCTATTTCCGCCATTCTAGCGCAGAAGGGGAACGATGGTCGCGAACATGTCATCAAGTACGTGTCGCGAACGGTGCCAGACAAACGGAGGAATGACTCAGCACCCCAAGGCGAATGCTATGCAGTAGTCTGGGGAATCCAGCACTTCCATCTGCATCTCCATGGGCAAAAGTTCCGCCTCGTGACGGATCACGAGCCTTTGCTCGCTTTGAAGAAACTCACTAATTACATGGGCATGATTGGACGTTGGGCGGTGCAACTACAGGAGTACGACTTCGACATCATTCACCAGAAGACAGAAAGACACGGCAACGCAGACGGACTGACACGTCTGCATCCGCCCGTTAGAGTGCCTAAGGGCGAGGAAATCACTCCGTGGAAAGAGTCAGAACCGGCAAACGGACCAAAGTACGGACAAGTGGCAGTTCTCCCATGTGACAAGCAAACCAGTGGCAATGGGTGACGGAGGAACCTCACTACCCCTCTTTCTCCCATCTCCTCTTCATCTCTTCTCTCCCTGTCTGATAAATTTTGCTATTTTTGCGAAGCAATCTCTCGCGTATATTCTGTCTCCATGTGTCCTAACGGGAAGGGTATGCGGAATGGATAAACTGTCGACAGTGTGTCGCACGAGCCCATGGCTCTTGCACTATGAATCCCCCGTGGTCATGACCGCGGGGTCAATCTCGGCCCGCGGTCGGGATTCCGACCGCCGAGGTCGGCTGCGGGCGAGGGCCGCGGTCGAAAAACTCCGACATTTTTAATTCCTAGGATAATAGGCCAAAAACAAAACAAAAAATATTGGGTTGTAGGTTTTTTTGCGCTCTAAAAACCGTATATTTTT